CGTCGTCTTACATGCTGGCTTTGACACCTGTCGGCGGGTAATCTCTGCTTGGTCCTTCTCCCCTCCCTCTTCTCATACTTTGTGCGCGTCTCAGTGTGGCTTGGTGTTCCAGCACTTTGTCATTGCCAAAAAATCAAATTATTTGTCAATCCGGTGGAGGCGTGGTCCGGAACTCCGCCTCTCCCAATTACTCAGTTCATTAATGCGAGTCGTACGAGGTCGGATCCTCTGCGCGCTCCGCTCCTCTCTGCTGGCATGCTCGTCGTTGTGTCTCTTCTCTCTCTCTCTCATTCTCTCTCTGCTCTCTCTCTCTCTCTTCGTCTCTCTCCTCTCTCTCTCTCTCTCTCTCTCCTCTCATTGTGTCGCTCCTTGCTTTAACTTGTTCTCTCACTTTCCTTATCTATATATCCCTCCTCCTCCCTCAATATCGCGACTATTTCTCTCTCGCCTCCTCTTCTCTCCTCTCTCTCTTCTCTCTGCTCTCCTTATTTAATACATTTCGTCACATCATAAATTCTATGAATGATATAATCTAATAATATCGACTGTTGTTGTTTATATTGGTTGTTGTTGTTGTTGTTGATTTGTCGTCGATGTTTCAGCACCCTCCACAGAGGTGAGCATCACCTTCATGCTCAGACAACTGCTGGATGTGGCCATCGAGTGTGTGGCGCAGCCTGCAGAGTCCATCTCTAGACTGGGCTGCGCATGCATCAGGTAGGTTCCCTCGAAGAACTTTCCAGAGTGTAAATTCAACCAACTGCAGGATTTAATAAAACTTTAAGTAAACTTCAGATTAATGTTTGCATTTAGACCAAAGTTTCAGATCTGATTAGACAAAAAGGAGATCAAGAAATTTCAAATCAGATCATACTCGGTCACATGTACATCTATTCACATCAAAAAAATTTCTCGTCTATTGTCTCTTCCAATCTAAATTTGAAAATTAGTTATTAAAACTAGCTCGATTATTATTATTATTTATTATTATTATTTATTATTATTATTTATTATATTACTGTTGTTATTCATTATTATTATTATTTATTATTATTTTAAAATCAATTATTATTTATTATATTACTGTTATTATTCATTATTATTATTANTGCAAGCTCTCGCAGCAGGTGAGTGCGGTCGCCATGGTAACGCTGTGCAAGCTCTCGCAGCAGGTGAGTGCGGTCGCCATGGTAACGCCGAGCGCGCTCTGCAAGCTCTCGCAGCAGGTGAGTGCGGTCGCCATGGTAACGCCGAGCGCGCTCTGCAAGCTCTCGCAGCAGGTGAGTGCGGTCGCCATGGTAACGCCGAGCGTGTTCTGCAAGCTCTCGCAGCAGGTGAGTGCGGTCGCCATGGTAACGCCCGGCACGCCGTGATGTGCGTGCACGACGGAGGCCAGGACTGTTTCTAGGTAACGCGGATCCACAACTATTACCCCGTGGAGATTCGTAGATAGTCATCCCGTGTAGGCATGTAGATTGTAGGTAGTACAGATAAACGTGTTTGTTATTCTGTGCAGCGAAGAAGCTATGATTCGAAGTTCGCGAATAACTCGTAGTCTTTGCATTTTACGAATGCCCGTATATATTTCAGCACGGTTGCGAAAGCATTGATAAATGTTTCGACGAGCGAGCACGAAAAAAATTCCACACGTGGACGCGTCACGGGAACAGTCGCAAACGGCCGGGCAGTTGCGCGTTGCCAGGGGGACGTGTTTTCTCTCATACCCTGTTCTGCGTCTGTCAGACGCTGGTGTTTCAGCTAGGCGTGCAACAGGAATAAAGAGCCTCTTTGTTCTCGTTGTATGTGCACAGCGACGTGCGTGCGGTGTACTTGTGTGTTGCAGAGGAGCATTTGAACGGCATTTACAGGAAATTATCGGCAATAATAGGCGAAAGAGAGTAGAAAAACATCGATAGTAAATACATTTTGTGTTTGTTTATACCATCATTTTACTATTGAAACGTTCCAGGCGCCTGTGTTCACAAGCGCCGGTCAGTCGCGCGTTGTCACCGTGTTTTCTCATACCCTGTTGCGTGCGGCTCGTGTCGGACGCAGGTGTTTCAGCTGGACGTGCAGCGGCTGATGCAGGGTAGGACGGACGACATGGACGACAGCCGCTCTTACATCTTCCTGCTCTACCCGCCCGATGCGGAGAACCTGCTCAACGTAGAGAAATTCATCGTCAGGTTCGTACGCCGCGACGATTAAATACGGACAAAAATTTGCAACAATTATTGTCATTAATTCATTAAATTCATTACATTCATTAAGTTAATTAAATTTATCGTCAGGTTCGTACGCCGACCATGCTACCGGTAGACGCCTGACGATTAAATACTTATGACAATTTTACGACATCATTACCTACGACATATGATACATACGATACATACATTACGCTTTATTATTATTAAATTATATATATACTATATATTATTATTATTATTATATTTATTAGCGATTCGGATTATTATCATAAAATTAATTTGCATGAAGACCAGTGAATATATTTTTCGGTATGTATTTCTGTATGTATAAGCGTTTGCTTTATGTTGTTACCTTTATGCATTGATTTCAAAGTGCTAACATAAGACTGATGCTTCCATTTAACATTTTGGACATACTTCGGACTTTTAAATTTTTGGATATATATCTCTTGAAGTTACTTTTGTGGTGAAAATCATGGTAAAAAGGTGCAAATTCTGTATATAGCTGCTTACGCCAAAAAATGTAAAATCCCACAAGTGACTATAGTTAATTTATCAATTATTCATTGGAATTTATCGAGGAGGAATTTAACAGGAATTTCTTTGTTTACAGGGTGCCTTTTAGAAACATTGTTGTCGGTCTACTGTCCCATCAGATCCTTCTGCAGACGTCGGTTTGCATTCTCCTCCAGGGGACGCCACGTGTCACCCCCGCCGTGGCCGGAGTCCAGGCAGCTTTCGGAGCAGTAGAAACTGACGAGGAGCACAAAGGACCGGGTATTATTCGAATTCTTATATCTAATCTATATTCTATATTATATTTTTCTTCTATTGTATGGTTTATTGTTATTTTCCTTTATTGTATGGTTTTTTATTGTTTTGTCTCTTTTGTATGGTTTATTGTTATTTTCCTTTATTGTATGGTTTTTTGTTGTTTTGTCTCTTTTGTATGTTATTGTTTGGTTTCTTATATTTTCCTTCAAATGATCAAGCCCTAGCGAGGTGTACAGCAAAATTAGCGTGCTGCGGGCAGCAGCGTTTTCTCGTAGACGCACAACTAATTAATGCCGGGCTAATTAATACCATGCTAATTAACTAATAGTAATTAACTATTAACTAATAGTAATTGACTATTTAACTAATATATAGTAATTAACTAATTAACTAATAGTAATTAACTAATTAACTAATAGTAATTAACTAATTAACTAATAACCTGATTAACTAATTAACTAATAGTAATTCAACTAATCATTAACTTAAGTTAAATAAATTACGACCGCTGCTGTACGCTGCAGGGATGCTGCGACGGTGCAGGGCGGCGGCGTCCGACCTGCTGCTGGAGTGTCTGCGCGAGGTCCCACCGCACGGCCGAGAGACTTCGACGCGCGCCCAGGACTCAAGTTCCTGCTGCCAGAGGCTCGCCGCGAGATAGCGTGGAAGGCGAACCTACTACAAGCAGGCCGGTACGCCGTCCGCTCGACATGTAACGTTCCAACAGGGGGGCGCCCACTATGGGTATTGGCGTCACCTCGTTGTTTTTCTACCTGTTAAAATCGATCAGCGCTGTCAGGGGCCTAGGAACAGATTGTACGGGTGCAGTTCCACCCTGGTTACTTTTTAGATATAAATTCAATCGGGTGGCCTGTGTATGCACAATGGGGTGCAGTTTTACCGGGTTAGTTAATAGAGTTTAAATAAGGACAGTCAATGTCAGCTTAGGTATTGATCGGGTGGCCTGGAGTAGGACGGGGTGCAGTTCCACCGAATTATATAATATAGCTTAAATGATGTTAGTCAATGTCATTCCAGGTATTGACCGAGGGATCCTGGGTAATAAAGATCATGTATCATCTTATGTATTGACAGGGGGTCCTGGGTAGATAGTACGGGATGCAGTTTCCACCGCCTTGGGTATTAAAGCTTAAATTAACACAGTTTAATAACATCAAGAGTAGATAATAACACAAGATTAGATAATAACACCCGATTCTCGCATTTTTAACCGATTTTTCTCATCAAATTTGCCACAATAAAGAAGCAAGTGTATACGTTTCTCATGTTATGACCACTTATCCACTCACCTTCGTTGTCACTTCGATATTCGTTTACCTTAAATGATTTGACAGCGCGTATTGTCTGTAAATCGTAAATCTGCACGAGCTGGAATTCGCCAATTTACACGCTAAAAATGGCGCTGTGTGATGAGGTTTAAGCACAGCATTTGAAGCTAATAAGTGGCGCCAATATTTGAGCAACGGACGCTTTCCAAATCATTCGTGCCTCGATAGGGTTTAATGTACTTGATTACCTGCGCGTGCGTGTGTGTTATTATCTACTCTTGATAACATTTAGTAACCTTAACAGTTAAATTAACATAAGGGCACAGTTCAGTCGAGCTAATAGAGTTTCTCCCCGCAGCCATAATCGCTGCCCCGCAGGCATAACGCTGTTGTCTAGAGTTTAAGTAGTACGGATGACATTCATTATCTTTAAATAAGTAAATGCTTAAGACAAAATAGTCAATATCATCTTAGTATGTATGACCAGGGGGCCTTGGTATGGTAGTACCAGCATGTCAGTTCCATATTGTTAAATAATAACAGCTGATAAACAAAGATACGTCATATCATCTTAATGTCATTGACAGGCGGACCCTTGGAGGTAGTACAGGATGCAGTTCCATCTGCTTTTTAATGAAATAAAGCTTTAAACAAAGATAGTCAGCAATTCATCTTATGTATTGACCAGGGGACCTTGGTAGGTAGTACAGGATGCAGTTCCATCTGTTTAATAATAAAGCTTAAACAAAGATAGTCAATATCATCTTATGTATTGACCAGGGGACCTTGGTAGGTAGTACAGGATGCAGTTCCATCTGTTAAATAATAAAGCTTAAACAAAGATAGTCAATATCATCTTATGTATTGACCAGGGGGCCTTGGTAGGTAGTACAGGATGCAGTTCCATCTGTTAAAATAATAAAGCTTCAAACAAAGATTTACGTCAATATCATCGTTATGTATTGACCAGCGGGCCTTGGTAGTTAGATAACAGATGCGAGTTCGTTCGAGCTAAGCAGCGTTTCTTCTTCCGTCTGCTCGCGCTGCCCCGCAGGCATCACGCTGTCCTTCTACCTGCCACACGGCTCTTCCGAGGCCTGTGTCTCCAGCGGCGACGACGCCATGACGACGCGCCGTGCGCGAGCCGATCGCGCGCGACCAGCGACGCGCGACTCGGCCGAACCTGCCTCCGCTGCGCGCGCGCGACGTGCGCCGCCAGGTGGCAGGGCCAACGCGGCGGGTGACCGCTCGGCGCGCTGTTTGACGGTGCGGGGCAGACCATTGCGAGGCGTTACAGCGAGATCGTCCGCTTGATCGCGAGCGGCAGCCACTCCCGCGCCCAGACCGCATATCGGACAGACCGCTGTTCTTCCCTCATCGCACGCGGCTGCAGACGACACCGTAGCCTGTTGACATGTGATTTATATCATAGATATTATATATATAATCACATGTCACAATCACATCTCTATCTCTCCCGTCTATATATATAAATATATCATATATAGAGACGAGAGAGAGAGAGGGAGAGATAGAGAGATAGAGAGAGGATGAGAGAGAGAGAAGAGAGAGAGAGAGAGTGAGTTGAGTGAGAATGAGAGAGAGGGAGGCGGAGGAAGCGTGCTAGACAGGGAGAATAGAGAGGAGGGGAGGAAGTGCTAAGTCAGGAGGCAGAGGAGTGGAGGGCAGAGTAGGAAGCTGTGCAGGAAGTGAGAGAGAGAGAAAGAGAGAGAAGGGGGGGGGGGCGGTTCTTTCACTCTGACGTGAATTTGTGAGTATCCCCCCTCTCTCTTCTCGCGGATAGCCGGACGAGCTTCCCTGGTCGGAGCAGCCAAAGATGCGTCGTCATAGCAGCGCGGGAAGCGAGAAGACAGAGTACGCGGCGGCCCCCAGCACCACCACTGCCAACCCCCTGCAGTACCACCATCAGCAGCCGCAGCAGCCACAGCAGCAGCAGCAGGAGTACCACCACCAGGAAAACATCCAAGCTGTCCCACCATCCCCCGTCTCGCCTTGTCCCTCGGTAGAGCCAACTAGCAGGCATGACGGTATGCGATTTCAATGCGTGTTTACGTCGCGATTAATAATGCGAATAATTAATCGCTTGATTAACTATTAGTTATACGATTGCAGCCGACTTTCATAATACGGATACGAGAATCAAAACAGTAGTTCGTTTGCAGAAGTTCGTTGTTTTTTTTGGTATACACGGTTTTTCGTGTGAAAAATCGAGTTTAAACCTGCAGCTGCTGGAGTTTCGTGGATCCATCGATTGCTCTTGGTTTCAGATTCTAAAGTGTACAATGTGACGACGAGAAAGGAAATCCACTCTCTGCTGAGTGAGTACAAGAAACGAAAACAGCAACGCTCCATGCCCGGCAAGAGCAGGAAGGACCGGATCGCAAAGTTTCTGCCGAAGAAAACGCATCCGAAGTCGGACGATCCCATACTGAACGAAGTGGAAAAGCAACAGCAGTCATCCATACTGAAGGTTTGCCATTAGGATAAATTAATGTGTCTAATTGCTTTAGCTTTAGCTTTTTCGCTAACTCATCACAGTTTAGTTTTTACAAGTGGCATGCACCCCTGACTATTTTTGTGTACAACAGATAGAGGATCATGGTCGCATATGGCGCATGTATAGCCAGGAGTCAAGGCAGTGACTCGGAGGAGAAATTGATGATTCTCTCTTATCTGTACTTGTGGGAGTGAGAACTGGTGTTATGCAACCAAGCAATATTATCGGATATCTCAGCAACTGAACAATAGCTCTATATTTTTCATTGTGAGAAAACCCACCATCACTTGTTGTTTTATAAACAACTTGCCTGCATTCCACTCGTTAGTATTGTGAGAAGCAAATAGTTCTAGCTTGTTTCTTTTCTAGGATGGAGAAGCACACATGCAGTCATGGACGGAAATGGTGTTGACCTTGTTCCATTTGCTGCAACAACTCGAAGACGATCAGTTTAAGATGTATTTACCACTTGTTTTTAATGGCATTGACCAGCTAGGTAGGTACTACCACATTACTGCTAAAGTAAGTTGATTGAACTACAAAAGCACAATCTCTGTACATATTTAACCTTGGTTTGATGGCATATCTGCTCCGTGGTATATCGATGTGAAATACTCGATGAGAATATCACAGAAAGTAAACAGATGTAGTAGCTATGTGATAATGATAATGTCTGCTTTCTATCTGCCCTATTTCTCATAATTCTCCTAACCTCTTGAGCTTGATAAATGCAGGCCTGATTATTGAATGTTTGTATATAATAATATATAGATATATACAGAAGTGAAAACACATGGACACCCATGAAGATTTAGATGAAAATATATAAATTATAAAAAAAGAACGAGGTGTAAATTTGTAATTTTACAAGCTTTTCGAGAACATGTCTCTTAGTCATTCTGTTGTTGTGAAGGCTAATTAAGAGACATGTTAGCTTGCAAAATAAAACTGACACCTCATTCTATTTTTGTATTAATCTATTCTCATATCTCTCTCTCTCTCTCTCTCTCTCTCTCTCTCTCTCTCTCTCTCTCTCTCTCTCTCTCTCTCTCTCTCTCTCTCTCTCTCTCTTCTTCTCTCTCTCTCTCTCTCTCTCTCTCTCTCTCTTTGTATATATATATATATATATACATGTATATATTCTAAGTTAACACACTGTAATTTTGTTTCAGTCTGCCATGCAACAGACGTATGCGTCAAGGAAGCGCTGTCACAGTGGCTCCATCGTGTAGGTAAATTATACTCACTGGTGGAAAACCCTGAAGAGAATGTGCAGGCTGTTGCAAAGTAGCTCTGGTTATGGCAACAGCTAACGTAATGCTAACAGCCTTGTTATAACATTCCTATCGGATTCCGAAACTACATTAGAGTATTAACCATGACCCTATTTTTCTCCTGCTGATTCAGTCTTGCCACACAGATGGCTGGCCGGTTGGATGTTGATGTGGGTATATACATGAAAAAAATTATTATATTAGAGCCAATGTTAATGGTATCAATGGACAAAAATTGGATCGATTTATTTCTCGAACGAATACCTGTTATGTATCAGAATTAGTGGAGGTTTTTAACAGTTATTATACCTGCTGTTTAAATGTGAATAAAATTAAAAAGCCAATTAAAAATCCGACTAGCTGTTAAAGCGATTGCGATCCGGATTGGTATTTATTGCTATATGTTACAATGCTTTACGTGTCAAACATTCAGTGTAATATGTAGTCTATTCTATATAAGTATTGTTTTGTTATCCATCACATAAAAGTTTTTGAATTCTATTTACATCCATTATATTCTAAGCTGAATGAATTTTATTGTGAACCTGATAAGAGGACCTGCAGACCAAAGAGTAATTGGCTTCTTTCTATAAAATGGCATGTATCTATATATTACAGGAAGCATGATAAATTTGGCAATGGAGCTTGGTTGTACACTGTATTTATTTACGTTCTATTTTCGTTAAAATTGAACAGTTTATTTATATTCTTTTATTATATTATGAGGACCAAAGAAACTGACTGATAACGTTTAATTGCACCTAGTATGATATTTATGTCACAATACAACCCCAAAGCTAGTACATTATGTTCCGGGTATGCTTAGACAGATAGTACATTGATTCGGATACGTATTAGCTCGAGGAAGAGAAGAGAAGACATAAAACTAGCGTTCGAGTTCACTTTCAATTATAGTGTATACTGGCTGAACAGTAGGTATGTAGTGCTATATTTGAATTTGTACTTGTACAGATTTGGGTAGTATTCTTATTTATTACCAATAAATATCTTATATTTATGTATATACAACTATATTTTGAACCTATATAATAAATAGTATACATAAGTTCATCCCTACATAATACCCCCACGATCAAATTAATACACATACACAATTGTTGGTCATCAAACTGTCATATTAGGTCAATTAATTATCTTTTTCATTTCAGTACAGTTTACAGTGCATGCAATATACATGACATAGTGATATACTGGACATTTAATTTTCCCCAGTTGTGTTCTTGAATTTGTGTTTATATTGTGTTTTGTGTTTATATTGAAATTAACGGCGAGCGTTTTTAAATCATTAAATTTATGTAATAATTTGTTAATCTGTCCAAAAACTTTATTAGTTTATTTCTATCTAAGCGATGAACAGAGAGGAACACGCGCAGGGGGTGCTGTACCCATAACCCTTGCTTAGTGTTGAAATTCATACGTCGGGGATTTGTGAGATGTTGGTGCAAGGGAAAACTTCAAATCTAGTCACATTATTACTCCTCATATATGTAATGTATTACATAAGTATTGTGATGGTCTTTGATGTTAATAAAAACGAATGAGATCAGTATTTCCAGCAACTGCATTGTCTTTGAATATCTGTGACTGCGAGTTGGGTATATATAAATGCACACGGACACGCATGCAGATATAGAAAGATATGAATATAGATATATATTATTAAATGTAACATGGTTCCCACAAAAGTGAATAATTTTTTCAAGGACAATCTGTGACAATTAGTTTTAGCCTTTTAGAGTCATCATATATACCTTAGATTCATATATAAAGTAAAAATAGTTGTTTTACACGAGTGCTGACAGCAGATTAAACAGCCGCTATAGCTCGCCGATTACCGACGTACAACGGTACAATAGTGCCAATAGTCGTTTCATATTGTCATTCACGTAGATTCATGTCCCAGTCCTGTAACAATATGCAAAGCTTTGATGTAACATGTAACACTCAGAACTATGTATCACACAATGCATCACACAACTGCTCAACACTATTGCATTTATCAGATTTTTTCTCCATGAAAAAGACTTGAGTATATATATTTGTAGTTGCATGCAATAAAGATTTAATAATAATAATAAACAATTGCCGGTTCTTTATGCTGACTTTTCATCTGCTGTGTCAGGCAGTAACATTAACAGTGAATAAAAGTAATCACTTATTCCTTACTCCCCTCTCGCGGATGGTATCGCCCACGACCAGTCAAACGTGGAAAAACTTTTGCAGCAAAATGACCGTATTTCAGCCTAACCATTTTCACCCACCGAGGCACAAAATGTGAATTTACGTCTAAAATACACACGCACGCGTGCGTGCGACCATGCCCGCATGTGCGCGTCCGTGGGTGTGTGTGTATGTGTGTTTGTGTGACTAAAGCACAAAATATGATTATACGGCTATAATACGCGTTTTTACCGGGGGGTGAAAAATGTAAGGCTGAAAACCAGCCATTTGTCTGGCTAACTTTTCACCGTGCAACGAGGTCATAGGTGATACCATTTTGGAGAGGGGGATCACTTATTCCCGAGAGAATATAAGATAAAACCTGATTGGATACCCGATAGGATGTAGCTTAAAGTACCATATAAATAGATAGACATATCAGATATAGATAGATATAGAAATAGATAGAATACCAGGTATTGAATGAAAATGTATTATTGTTTCTTTTCTTGGTTTTTCGCGATGAATGATTCCATATGGTACATTATTACTGCTAGGTAACCCACAAAAGTGTAAATTGTTTTTTCAAAGACTTCAAGGACATTTAAAAGACAATCTGTTACAATTAGTTTTAGCATTTTATAGTCATAATATATACCTTAGATTCTTATATAAAAATGTAAAATGTAAAAATCCAGGACATTAGACATAAAATAAGGACTCGGACCAATTTCCAAGAACTTTCAATGACAAAAGGAAAAATTAAGGAATTTCAAGGACAAGGGACAATATTTAAGGACTTTCAAGGGCTGTGGGGACCCTGTGTATGGTATTGGCCGCAAAATCGATGTGTGCATGTATAAAAAGGTTAGTACGGTGGATGACCGCCAGGTGGTTCACCATTTTTCAGTTCAGAGTGATATACTATCAGGAGTAGATAATAGGGAATCCCTTATACTATGTATGCGTGCGTGCGTGCGTGTTGCGTGCCTGCGTGACAAATCCAGATTTCGGACGTTGTTTTTTTGCCATAACATTCCATTAGTAACCATGTGTAATTAATTTCTCGGGGGTTTACTTTAATATTTGTGTTTTTGTACGTTAAAGTTTTATTCATACGTTAATTCATTATTAAAACGGCAGCAAGGATTAAGAAAAACATGAAGAAACAACAAAGGAAATAATTTTTGATCTCCCTCTTTATTGGAAAACATTATATAGGCTGTCCTCTATTTACAGAATATCGGCAGATAATATCATAATAGCAAACATTATCATTATTATTATTATTATTATTATTTTCATACGTATAACATGCAAATTAATTATTGAATCAACATCGTCAGATCACAAATGATAATAGCATATGCGGAATCGCACCGACTGACTAATATCTTAATTCTGTGAAAGTCTTTGAATCGTGATTTAAGTCTTTGCGAATTAAAATCAAGTCATAATGCACAATATTCCAAGTGACAGCGGAAGCTTCTGCGATTTACCATCATGGCAGCCGTCGTTAGAATTTACTAAAAAAAGTGTCAACGCCATTGGAAAAACAGCAACAATCGAAAAAAACATTAAACAACAGAATTGTGTCACCAAAAACCAAATATCAATAAAAAACAGCTCTGCGCGAAAGATTCAAAACAAATAAACAAGCAAAAAAACAACTTTACAATCTTAACCCCCCCAAAAAACAACAACAACAACATTTAGCCATGTCCGGACTGTACAATACCGAATTCATTATTTACTGGCTATATACAATCGACTGTACAATAATAAAAGAACCGTAATACGTAATTCTTCCTCCTTCTCTCAAATTCATTCATATAATACATATTATAATTATAATTATAATTATAATTAATATGATGACTCTATAGAGAAAGAATGTGTTAATTAATTAATTAATCATTAGAAGCACCTCATTATAGCAGATCTGTCCTAATTACTTGCGAAAAAACCAGCAAGCGCGCATACTGCATGTCGCGGTGCGTGGCGTGCTGCGACGCGAGACAGGCCAACTAACGTCAGGTTGCCCGCTGTCGTCGCCACAGTGCGGGCGCCCCCTGGAGGGCTGAATCGCGGCGATTGACGTCTCGTCTGCTGTGGAAGACTTCTCATCATGCCATCTCCCCCTGCTCTCCTTCTTTCTCTCTCTCGCTCCCTCTATCTAATCCACGGACATTCCGACATTTCAACCACACAAATTCAGATATCTGATAACCGTGAACATCCGTGCATCCGCTAGCATTGCCACATTCCCCGCTGGAGTGTTAGGGGGCCCCACAGTGCCTGCTGGAGTGGTAGGGGGCGCCACCAGAGAAAGATGGCTATGCGCGACTCAGTGACGTCAGAGCCGCCCCTGGCGGGCGGATGCAGCGGCGTCGCGATCACAACGACAGGTGAGAAGATCTTTCCTGCGGATGACGTCGCGACGTGACATTCTCACCATTGAAGAGGGAGAGACGGCGGCGCGATGTACAACTAGTGATGCAAGAGCCCCGCCCTGGGCGGCGACGATCAAACGCGACAGTTAAGGTCGGTCCGACGACAATCATGCGTCTAGGCTTCGTCGGTGAGGTCGGAGCAGCGCCCCCTGCGGCGCGATCGGACACGCGACGCGTTAGGTTGCCGAGCGACAACATGGCGTCTGTAGCTCGTCAGCGAGGTTCAGAGGAGCAGCCCCCTGCGACGTGATCTACAGCGACGGTTAGGTTGTCGCAATCCAGATAACAACATGGCGTCTAGCTCGTCGTGAGCTCGAGAATCGCCCCCGGCGGACGCGGATCACCGTCGACGTTAGGTGTGCCGACAAACAACATGGCGTCTTAGCTTGTCCGTCGGTGAGGCGGAGAACCCCGCTGCGCGCGATCACGCGCAAGTGGTTGGAGGTCGTCCGACGACAACATGGCGTCTAGTTCGTCCGTGAGGTTGGAGAGCATGTGTCCGATGTCATCCCACAGAGGGTCTTCCCGCCTGCCC